AGAAAAAAAAAAAAAAAAAAAAAAAAAAAAAAAAGATATGCAAAACTCATTAGGATCAGTTTGAGGCAAGATGAAGAAAGCCCACTACAGTTTCTCTCTTCTGCTGCACCTGGCTGGAATTGTGTGGAGCAGTTTTCCTAGGACTCTGAAAAATAAATGGCGACAAGCCGAGTAGGCAAAGTGGAGCCACTTCTCTGGTGTCACCCAGCTTGTACACGTATTCAGCCTAAAACCCAGAGTATACATTACTGTCACCAGAAAGAGCTTCAGGAAAAGAACCAGAGTTCTGACCCAAAGATCAGGAAAGAGGGCTCAAGAGACTGAGACAGTGAAGGAAGTCTGGTCTTTTGCTTTTCTGTCTCTGTCCCAGCCACTAGGCAATTCTGCTGCATTGTACAGATAGAGCCTGTGTATTTGCCTAAAACCAAGGTGAGAGAATCCTCTCTACCAAAAAACACAGTCCCAACAGAATGAGGTGAAGAGCCATTACTGGTTTCTTTTCTCTGTCCTCAGCAAACATGAAACATTATAAAGTCAAAGAAAGTCAGGCCCAGACATCACCTGAAAACTAAAGACAAAGGAAAAACCCTTGAAAGCAGCCAGAGGACAAAAGACTCATAACACATAGGAGAAGAAAAGTATCTATGTCTTTGTCATTAGAAACCATGGACATCACCAGAAACAAGGAAAAAAAAAACTTTACAAAATTTCTATAAGGAAAACAAAAAAAAAAGAAAATCAACTGAGAATTCTAAATCCAGCAAAAGTGTCCCTTCGAAATGAAGGTGAAATAAAAGCATCGTGAGGTGAGGGGAAACTTAAGAAGATACGTTGCCATCAGAGCTGCTGTAAGAGGAACATTCCCCAGGGAAAGCCAGGGACCTCAGGAATGTGGGAGGAGCACAAGAGACAATTCACGTCTGGGGAAGTTTGATCCGGATCTCCTGTTCATCTCACCACACACGTGTGGTGGATTAAGTCAAACGCCAGAACACGGACTGTTGGGATTTGCAATGTACAGTGGTGTGATGTAGACAATAAATAAAACATAAAAAGGGGCAGGTCAGATGGATGCATTGTCCATACACTCTCAGTGACACCAGTAACTATCTCAAATGACAGAATAAAATACTTCAAAATCAAATAACTCAGATGATAGAGACAAGGAGAAGAAATAAACAGAATGCAAGTAATAAATATGAGACAAACAAATCCAAACATATCATCACATAAACATTACATGTATGTATCTAATCACTCCCTAGGGAAGCCTATTATCCCTGTTGAGAACGTATATGATAGAATAATTGATATCTAATATTCCACAACTCTAAATCTGCGTAGACCATAGGATAAGACCTTTAAAATTGCCTATGTTATATTAAAACACGAACGAAAACTGCCAATGGAATTATCTACTGTTAAATTATCCTGTGCAGCCTTTGGGAGAAAAATGGGTTAAGTCTGAGGATTTAGGAACAGCCTCCCCTAAGACACATCGGCAGCTGGCCAGAGCCTCAGCCCCACTCGATAAATATCATTACAGCCTAGAAATATATTTATGTCCAAGTTACTGGTGTGTGCACTCTGCATTTGAAGATTTATGAGATTATAGAAATGTTTCTAACCATGAAGAATGACTAGAAATGAAATCTTTTTCTGCTAGTCAAACCACACAGATTGAAATGTTCCAATTTCTCTGGACAGGCAGCCCATCTCTCATGATCTTGCGAGGGTGTCAGGAACCGCCCCACCTGTCTCATCCTTATTCCCAGTAGTGAGCCAACACATTGAGCCGGAGAGACCAGCTTCATCCTGTTTGAACAGCGGAGAGAGGAGCCCCATTCCAAATGTCTCTTCTGGAGCCAAGAAAGTGTACATTTTCTCAGTCCTTAAATCACACCCTGAAGCTAAAACAAGACCCATGAGGCTTCGGAATACACCAGCCTTTCAATTAAAAAAAAAAAAAAACCTTAAACATGGTCAGCCAAAACTTGATAAATTATCAGAGTATCACTTCTCTTTCCCGTCAGCTAATATTTCTCCCTTGAACAACTTCTCATGTTTTCTTCTTCCATTCTGGTCACAATGAGTTATTTCACATGGCTTCTTCCTCCCTCCAATGTGACCTCATTGATAAGCAGTGCGGTCACAAAGGACATGCTGATGTCAGGAGGGTTGACATCAGAGAGCTTTCCAACAGAGTGTGTCCTCTCCCAGAGTGTGTCCTCTCTGCACTCTCAGTGCAGCTTCCACACCGAGGAATTTATTCTGTTACTTGGTCGTGATCTCTGGGCTTGACTATTTAATCAAACTCCTAACTAAACAGTTGATATAAAGTATAATGCCAAGCTTTATTTCAGTCACTCACCCATTCATTTTTGTAGTACTGGTGATGGAAGCCAGAGTCTCACATAGGTTAGACAAGCACTCAACCACTGAGCTATTATCTTCACCTCTTGCTTAATTCAGAACAGAGTGTTGCTAAATTGCATAAACTGGCCTCAAACTCATAATCCTCTCTCTTCAGCCTCCTGAGGATCTGGCATTACAGGTGTGTCCCACTGTGCCTGGTTCTGTTTTGTTTTGTTTTTAATTTACTCTAAAGGAAACTCCCAGTCTAGTGATTGAAAACCAGATGCCTGTCATTCGTATCACACCTACACCAATAGCAAGGGATCTATGGAAACAACATCATGATCAGATTTAATAGATCAGAATGTAATCCTCAAAAAAGGAGAGGTGGGGTGGAACGTGATGAACCGGAAGGAGAAGGACAGGTAGCTGGCCTTTGTCCCAGCTTTCCCCCTCAGGACCAAGAGCAGACAGTGTTAATCAATCACTGCACACTGTGGATGTAGAGCTTGATGCAGCCTCCGCATCTACCCTCCGTGGCACTCTAGGCAGCCCCAGACAATCAATCAGTGTAATCAGATAAAACGAAATCTTATCTGGTCTGCAGGGATGATATGGCCTAAGACAGGGATCTCCTGTCATAAAACAACCCTCGACTAGTTAGCAGAATTTATATTAATAGGTTTCTTATCCCTCTCTCACTAGTGAACCCAGGCAATTATTGCCAAACTCTTCTCCTTTTCTCCCAGTGGAACGCATCTAACAGATAAAGTTTAAGAGTGAAAGCAATGCTAAACTTTGGGAGAAGCACTCTAGAGATGGCAGCTTAGCATCTGTACTTATAGAATTTTCCATAGAGATGTAATGAAGACCCAAAGTTGTGTATCACTGGCTATCCAAGGAAAGTCACCACACACACCATGAAATTCACTTACCTTGCCTCTACCATTACAGACCAACCTAACAACTGAGATGCATGTATTCGATGCTTTCTGCATCTGAGGATGATGGAATAACACTGAACTAACATTTGCCCGGCCCTCTCCCTTTAAATGTACATAGCCAGGTGACTTGATTTGGAGCCATAAAGACATGAGAAGCTCTAAGGCAGTGTGTGGTTGACCTCTTCTCTTTCCCTCTGCCACAGTGGCTTGCATTATTCTTTATGCCAAGTGCAGGATCAGATCTGAGAGCTGAATGGTGTAGAATAAGAGACCCCCAAATACCCAAGACAGAGTGAAAGAAAAGTAAACTTCTGTTCCTTGCAGCCACCAAGATTATGAGTTGCTTGTTGCTTCAGCACAACCTCATCTATTCTGATCCATCTTGCAAGGGGAAGCCTCAATTAGAGAAATGCACATTGCTCTTAGTCTCATCAAGGCTCAGTATTGGTAAGCTTTAAACATATAAGCAGAGAAAAACTAACTCTTCATATTGTAGGATTTTTAGATGAGCTGTCCAAAGAACCAAGGGAAGGTTCCAACATGAGAGAAAGGAGTAGGGGAAACAAAGGAGAAATGCCCATGGGAGCAGTTCTTCAGGCCTGGTGCAAACTTGTGCTGATCCCTGACATCTAAAGTCCCTAGACCATGGGGCAGAGAACAAGCCACTCTGTCCCAGAGTCAGAGGCACTGAGCCCCAGTGAGAGTGTTGGGCCCAGGGCCACCACTGAAAACATGATGGCAACGGGAATGATTCAACATTACCAACTCTTGCTTTCCAGGCAGACACTTAACATTCTTATTGTTTAGCTATCTCTTCCACCATAGGAGAAAAAGTTAAACAACTGATTTAAACAGGACTTTGTACTAGAATAATGGTATTTTCCCCAATCTGGCTTTTGCAATATATAGTACTGATAGGCTATGAAATATTTTTTTACCACTACGATTACAAATTTTAAGAGGTGCCATCCAAAAGCTATAAACTGAAAATCCAACTTCTAAAAGCTCACACAATGTCAAATAAAAGTTTCAATATAATAGAAAACATACGTTTTGGGGGACAAAGTAGGCTGTTGGTATTTTTAATAGTACTAGTATTGGTTAATCGCCAATCAGAAGCTATTTTCTTACTGCCTCTTATTTTCTTCTCAGGGAGAGAGGTTGGAAGAAGAGTTGAAAATGTTGTGTCAACTCACATAAAAATACATCCAAATTACATGTTCGGGTAAGGATTTTATAAAATTATAAGTTCCTAGGAATATATTTTGTAACTGTATGTAGCACTTAAAAGATCTACACAATTTTAATAGAACATTCAAAGGAGCAATACAGTTATTGGACAGAGCTTAACAGGGGTTCTCTCTCTTTCAGATCAGATACTTCATATTTTTGTGAATGGTGTAGATTAATTCCACCCATTTATTTCATTAAGAAATTGAGAAGTACTTTTAAAAAATAGTTGCCAGGTTCTGTTCTGGACCTTGAAGCCACTTGTGTAGCTAAAACAAACAATACCCATGGACTCAGAGAGCTTATGGTCCAGTGGGACAGTGAACCATACACAAACATGTACTATTAATGACTTTATTATGCTCTGTGTAAGTTCTGTCGACAGGACAGAGAGCGACAGACAGAGGTCTATGTGGACAAAAATGTCAAGAAAAGTGTCTCTGAGGTTGTATTTAGAAAGCATTGTAAATGAAGTGAGGAAGAGTATCCCAGGTAAAGGGTTAGTGCAAAACCCTTAGTGAGGTAGAAACAAACTTGGAAAATTTCATAAATAGATGTTGGACGAGGCAGGGTCTGAGAGGTAACAACAGGAAAAGACGGCAGGGACGATAGCACTGGAGACAGACGTGTCAAAGACAGAGAAGCCAGAGTAGTAGATACTCATTTAAGAGACTCATATCCTTTGATTACTAGTAAGTCAATTTTGAATCTTTCTTACCTACTAATATAAAGCTCTAAATTGTGCTTACAGTGCTATGTTAGTCTCTCAAATTTGTGATAATGTTTGTACAATTTCATTCTAAATGTTTTTTTTTAAATACCATGGTTACTTTTTAAATGAAGTATGCACTGTTTGAGTAAACTATTAAAATTATCAAACATTCCCTTATCCCCTTCTATTCATGCTTTATTGTTTTCTTTGTTTGTTCTTTGCCTCACTCAAACGAGAGTGAAGAACATGTGGTATTTAAGCTTGTGTGTCTGGTATGTTTTGCTCAACGTTATATTTTAGAAGTGCATCCGTTTTCCTACAAATGTCTCAAAATTGTCCTTCTTTACAGCCAAGTAGTATTCCATTATGTTCAGGTCCCACATTCTCTTTATCCAATCCTCTGCTGACAAGCTGCTTCTGGGACTTAGCCTTTACAAACTGTGCTGCTATAAACATGGGTGTTCATGTGTCTTGTACCAGGGAAGGGGTCCAAGGGAACAAGGGCAAGGGATGAAGAGGAGAGGAAGGGGAAATCAGTGGAATAAATGCATGCCCTGTACAGGAACCTAACAACCTCAAAGAAGGTAACATTGTATGCCCTCCCATGAACTAAGATGAATAATATCAACAAGAATGAAAATCAGGACAGGGGAATTAGAGAAGGGAGGGAAGGGGAGAAGAAGCTGCAGTTTGTACATGTACCCACTCCCCGAGATGACTGCAAGCTGCATGTACTGCAAACTAATAAAAAAAACCAATACAATAAGTTTTTAAATTACTAAATATATGGTCTCTTTGGGGTTTTTAATTGTTGACATTCAAGTTTCTTACACTGTAGACAAAGAATGTATTGTGTATTATATTGACTATAGGTTGAGCTTTTTTTTTTTTTTTTGGTTTTTTGAGACAGGGTCTCACTATGTAGTTGAGACTGACCTGGAACTCACTGTGTAGCCCAAGCTGGTCTCGAACTCAGTGATCCTCCTGCCTCAGCCTCCCAAGTGCTGGGATTACAGACGTGTGCCACCTCGCCCGGCTTATATGTTGAGCTTTACTATAAAACCTAGTATAGAATTCACTTTTGCAAATGTTCAGTATGTACTTGGGAGAAAAAAACGGAGTATTTGCTAATTTCTGAAACAGGGATCCGTAGGTACTCACTCGATCCATGGCATCGTTCACATCTTCTGCACTCTGTTGTGTATCTGTCTGCTTGATCTGGAAATATTTACAAAAGATGTGATTCAAATTCCCGCTATAGTTTTATATATGCCTATTTCTCTTTGTAATTCTCAAGTTTTGGTGTGTGTTTGGGTGTGTGTGATTTTCTTTTTATGTGCACTCAAGGTTAAGTTTTCAGTATCTTTACTTGTTAACTATTTCCTTACATTAGGATTCTATGTAAGTCACAATTATATATTTTATCTTATAGTTTATTCTGCCTCACACTAATATTTCAGTTTTACCATTTTATATTTATATTTAACATTCAGCTTTCTATGCTACTCTACATTAAAAATATCTCCCCTCCTGTAAATAATCATAGCTTTTCCCCCAGTTTAAGAATCACTGTCTTTTAATGTGTGAATGAAGTCAATTCATTTGACTCATTGTGATTATTGATATATTTGGATTTAATTCTATCCTCTTTATTTTTAGATCAGTTTTAATGTTAATCGAAGTCCTGTGATAGTGGAAGTTTGGATTAAGCATCCATGTATGGCATATACACACTGTGCTCCCTTGTAGGACCTAGGCTTTCCTTTTGAACACAGCCTCATTTTGAGACACTGGGGTCAGGACTTCTGCATACTGGGATGGAGGGCAGATGATTCAGCCCACAACCTGTACACTCCAGTTCAATGGCCAGGTTGCCAGAGTAGAGATTCTGACTGGCCTTTCACATCGCTCTCTGTGCCTCATTCAAGACCGAGTGCCAGTACCATCCTTTCTGTAAAGTTTGCGAAGGTCCAGTCCCCCAGACAGAAGCCAGGGCCCCTAACTCAAGGTACTCTGTGTATACTTCCCTGATCATGCAAGAGAATCATCAGGTACATGTGATCCTGATACGGAACGATGTGATGATGGAGCACCCAGCACAAAAACTCTTTTGTGTCATCATTATTATTAATCACATCTTTAAAATAAAGCAACAAAATCACAGAAGGTTAAATAACACACCCAAGAGCACAAAACTGGGACATAATCTTGTCAGGACAAACACAATGAGTCCTCAGCCCAGAACTCACATTCTAACAGTTCTACGGACCTTTTTAGTATCAGGGATCAAACTCAGGACCTTGTGCTTGTGAGGCTGGCAGCAGCACCACTGAGTTAAATCCCTGGCCCGATAGTTCCTTTAACAGATACTAAGACTGAGTTTATGTCTAACAGTGCCCTGAGGGATGCGATGCATGGTGTGTTCTCAGAGAACTCCCACTCTAGAGGACAGGCTGCAGCTGGGTGGAAGGCCTGATTTCATGTGGGGTATAATATCAACAAAGAGGAGGGTCCTGAAAGAGAAGAATATGGCTCTGGGAAAGCAAATGACATAGAACTGGAATAGCATATTCTAGTCCTGCTCAAATGCATGAACACCAAGAAAAAGGACTAGTATTAAGCAGATGTGGTTGCGACTGCAGAGGGATTATTCCACGCACAGAGGAGAGCACATCCAAGGTCCTGTGGTGGGTCAGGTCAGGGCAAGTCAAGTCAAGCGATGATAAAGACTGTCAGTGCGTCTAGGATGCAGTGTCAGAGCAAGATGATAAAGCTAGAGAATCAGGTAGGGACAGAAAATGTTGGGCCTCTCTAAGGATTCCCAATACAAGGCTTTTATTGGGTTCAACCCAGTAGCAGATAACAATTTTTCCCTCATAAGGCTGCAGTGAGTGTTTTATGGAAAAACAAGGTAAAATGTCTGAGTCGTGGTTAGCACGCAGACATTAGATTTTCCCTCGGCTTTCTCAACTGTATTTATTTTAAGGAACGTCTAGTCGACAGTCTCATCCACTGGGGTTTTAGTCCTCCTTTAAATTCACTTGCACATAGATGTAGGACATTAGTATCTCACTGTGCAGCACACACTTTCAGCCTTTAATTTGCAGGGAAATTGCTAGATCCAGTAATGTTGTTCCGCATAGAAACCACAACTGTAAAATCAAGTAAACCCTACAAAAGTGGCTAGACTAGAGCATCTGCCAGATGCCACCACTACCAATTAGGAGCCACAGTAATTTGAGACTTCTCCTAAGAAAGAATAAGAAGTCCTTCTTCCAAAGAGTGCCACTAAAACTCTCCATTTGTAGAGAGAGCACAGGGTAGCAACATTTGACATTTTTCCCAAAATATCATTTGGTACAACTGAGCCCTGAGTGCTTATATGGAAAGGAACAGTTACATCTTCAACTTCAGGTGTGTGTATTCTCTAGCTATTCCCAAGCTTCATGAAAGAGAACCCTAGTTTCTCTTGTTTACCATGTAGAAAATTGAGATCATTCGAATTCACTACTATAAGGAGATATTTTGGGTCGAGAACAGAGCTATAATGTGCAGCCCGGACTCTGTGCCTAAGATTTACTCTTCTTGTAGCCTTCCTGGTACTATCACTTCACTGAATGTGCGTGCTGGAGCAGAAGAAATTTCTCATCTTTATGTATATCTATTTATGAACAAAAGACTTTTCTCTTTATACCTGATCACATAATCAAAATGTTGGTAGAATGGCCACATCCATCTCTGCCAAACACGACACCGTTTGTAACTAAACATTTTTTAACATCAAGATGAAGAATATTTTGGTTGTAGATCATCTATATTGCTGAGAATAACCTATGTACTGACAGCCTGTAGCTCCATATACCTTTGACAAAGGAAATTCCTAGTTCTTTGTCTCTCTTTAATTCTTAATATCCAGGAATTCGTTCCTATGCATGCAGCAGCAGGAGGCTCATTTCCTTACAAATCCGTCATTCTCCAAAAACCAGCTTTCTTAAAACATGACCACAATTTGTGCCATAAAAAAGTCATGAAAAGAAGAGGGTATGCATATTTCTAACACCCATTAGCTGCTTTCCCTTGTCACATTTTCCAAAATCCATACATTGCTTTAATAACCACAATTACATCTTCATAACATTTCTTTATTTTGTAATACTGTATTTTTGAATGTGTTTTGTATCTCTTTCTCTCCCTCTCCCTCCTGACATACAAATAGCTTTATTTTACTGAGGTGGCAAAAGAATAATTATGATAAGACAGAAGGTGCTGTGCTTACCTCCCCTAATGAATTGTAAGTCTCTCCACAAAGGTCCAAGCTGCCTCCAAATTATCTTTCACACAGCTGTGATTTTGCACACACACACACCCCCTCAGGTACTCTGCCTTAAATTGCTTACGATAGACACTTTCCAACTGTACTGGCTACACAGCACCTCACCTTTCTCTTGCATTTGGAAAATTCTACCTGCATTCCATGGCAGAGGCTAAAAGTGTCAGATACTTGCTCTACCAGACTCCCTTGCTGCTATGGCATGAATACATGACCCAACTCTGTCAGGCAGATGCACCCACAAGGGAGTATGAAACAGGACACCAGGATGCCAAGAAGAAGGAGTAGCTCTGGTAGCTAAGAGGATTTGGGAAAGTTCAAGTTCTCAGGCCACAATGGCAGGGAAAAAGGGCAAGGTATTTAGGACTGAACCTTTTTTCAACAGTCCAACTCTACAATTAGACTTTGATCTTTGTTTCTGCCTGTGTAAATCTGAGTTCTTTAAACAATGCCCCTTTAATTAAAATTTATTTCTGTTTAAATGAGCCCAAATCAGTGCCTGAAACTTCCAGTTAAAAATTCACTTTCTTTATCTGAAGAACCTGCTCAAAGCTCTCAGCACCTGGTCAATGAGTGAAAATGGGAAACAAGCACCTGATTATTGTTGATCTAAGTCCTGCTTAAAATCAGGAAAAATTGAGTTTTTTAAAGCACCCATCTCTGATTTGGGAACATATGGAGATATCCAAGAATGCTGTTCTTTCTCACACAGTATAGATTATCTTTCCTGTGAATGGCCTGTCAATCTGAAAACAATACTTGTACAAAACTTTATCAGTGATGAGATGGTGAAAATGTTTATGAAAAACTGTTTTCTACTTTTAAAAGATTGAAATTCATAGCTTAAAAAAGATTTGGGGTTTTTTTTAGGTGAATATTTTGGACCATACATAGTCTTTTTCACACTTTTTAAAGTAAAGGTCACCTTATGTTTTTAGAGCAGAAATAGTATGCACAATCCCATCTTTCATTTTGTCATGGATTCAGGACCAAGGAAATTCTGCATAAGTCTTCTCTCAAGCAGTGATGGCTATGTCTTTTCCTGAAGAGGGAAAGTGCTGCATCCTCCAGGGCTGTTCTTCTTTCCCGCCCTCTATGTTCATCACTGCTTGTCCACCTGAGAATCCTGTCTTCACCATGCAAAGGATAGAAACACATGAAATGTGCTCTAAACAAACTCCAGAATGCGCCTTATCATACTGTCACCAAGATGTGAGGACACAGCACTGAGCAATGATGTGTAAACAGATTCAGAACTGGGCCGTTGTCTCCAGCTGTGGTTGTGTTCCCATGCCAAGCTGCATTCAAGTGCATACTTTTTACCAACAACATCAACAACAGACCTTAAATTATGTAGCTGTGGGTGTAGACGGAGTGTTCCAACCTTGGCTCTCAATCAGAACACAAATTGTGCCGAGACACAAAGAAAGCTCTATGTTGCTGGAAATGTTTATCTAGAGAAATCTAAAAATAGGGAACTATCTTCCAGTGGATTCCCAAGAAAACTCTGAGATAACATTTTGCTATAAGTGAGTTTCAGGCAAAATTAGTCTGCTAAACTGACAAAAGAAAAATCTTACCTAGAGCCCAGTAGGATCAATTGAACTTAATTTTGTTAATTTCAAACAAAGGGTAGCTGGAGTTCAAAATCCTAATCATTGGCTTTTTATGAAAGAATACAAAATGGATTGGTTATGTCTGCCATGCAAGTGAGCAGTAGTGATGTGAGAGCCACAGACTCACAGCCCCTGTTGCCTGATGTCACTAAGTCAGCTAAGCATCACCTGCTTTCCATGACTCAGTGTTGAATTCTCCATCCTTGGAAACTCCAAAGTTTTTTCCTCTCCTTCCCCTTATGACATTTACATTCCACTGTCTATCTTTACACGCATCTGCTTTCTCTTTCCAAGCTGATAATTCCCCATGAGAGGAGACTACATTATTACATTCTTCTCAGATCTTAATACTTACAATCTCATACCCCTCCTTTTATTTATTCAGCAGCAAGTATTGAACACTAAAATGTCTAAAATGTTGGTGTCCCACTGATCCAATTCACATCTTGAAACCTGATTTCCTGATGTGATAATATTAAAAGGTAGGGAAGTGATTAAGTCATGAGGACCCAACCTTCACAAGTAGAATTAATGTCCCTTTTAAAGGGCTCCAGGTGCAACCACTGTGGAAATCGATATGGAGATACCTCAAAGAGCTTGGACTGGAGGTTCCATTTGACCCAGCCATCCCTCTGCTGGGTATCTTTCCAAAAGAACTGAAAGAATCATATCATAGTGATGTATGTGCACCCAGGTTTATAGCGGCACAGTTTGTAATAGGTGAAACTGGGAAACAGCCCATTTGCCCATCAGTTGGAAACTGGATAAAGAAGATGTGGTTTTCTATAAAATAGAATATTACTCAGCCATAAAGAATGGGAAAATAGATCCATTCATAGGAAAATGGATACATATTGAAGATATACTCCTAAGTGGAATAAATAAGTCACACATGTGTAAATACTGAATAGTTTCTCTACTGTGAATAAACTGTAATAATGCATAAGATCCTAATAAGATTACTGACATTGTGAAATGGGAAGAAAGGGGCTAAAGGTGTAGGGAAGGTTGGATGGGTAGGGGAAGGGTAATAAGGGAAAGAAAAAATGTGAGATAAGGAAAAGATGTAAATAAAGTGTTTATAGATGGGGAGGGGAGGAGGGGGTGAAGGGAGGGCAGGGACAAGGGGAAAAAATGAGAACCAAGACCTGTTACGTAGAGGTTCAAGATCCCAACAATGAATGTAACTGTACTGTAACCCTAAAATGTACCAATAAACTCAATTAAAGCTGGAAAAAATAAAAGGGGCTCCAGGCAGCTGCCATGTGGGGAAACAGAAGGCACAGTCTATGAGGAACAGGCCCTCAGTAAATATTGAAACTGCCAGTGCCTTGAGCAATAAATTTCTTTTATTTATAAATTGACCAGTCTAAGGTATTTTGTTGCAGCAGCTCAGAGTAAGACAAGCCCTATTGGTTGAAACTGGCTAAGGTCTGATTTAAGGTACAAACAAGACCCAGTCCTTTCCTTCAATAAGCTTATGGCCTGGTAGACTATTGAATAAATAAAGCAAAAACTTGTATTCTGTACCCCAGAAGTATGATCTGCGCCATCCTTTAGTTTAGAGGAGTTTAGTATTTATGTCTTAGGAAACAGATTTCCACATACATCATATTCCAACATCATCCCAGGTAGACAGGAAGGACAAGAAACTGAGGTCACTGCAATCAAAGAGGTTAAAAGACTTGCCCATAGCTTTACAAATGAATAAACTGACAGATACATTGAGAAACACTTTTTAAAAGTAACCATGAAGCAAATGCAGAAATCTTTCTTGGTAGTGCTGTGAAACTGAAGTCTGGTCTCTAGAGTAATTCACCTTAAAACACAGGACACGAACCTCCATGTCTACAGGAGGCTGGATAATGGTCCCCACAAACATGTCCACATCCTGATTTCCAGAATCTGTGCATGGAATGAAGGTTACAGGTGGGGTCAAAGTTGCCAATCACCTGACCTTCTCATAAGGATTGTAGGGCAGAGCTACCGAGTGGGCCCAGTGTAGGCCCTAACACTCTTAAACAAAGAAGAGGGCAGGAGAGAATGAAAGAGTGAGAAGAGCTGAGCGAGGCACTGCTGGCTTTGAAGATGGCGGAGGGGTCCCTGCCAAGGAATATGGGCAGCCCCTACAAGCTGGAAAGGCAAGAAAATGGATTCCCGCCTAGAGTCTCCAAGGGCATGCAGCTCTGCCAACACCTTGATTCTATCTGTAAGATTCATCTCGGGCTTCCGATTTCCAGAATTGTGAAATAACCAATGTGTTTTTGTTTTAATCCACTGTTTGTAGTAATTTATTACAACAGCAATCAATAGGAATGTAATAGAGGGCAAATTAGTTTCAAACTATTCTTTTTTACAGTGTATGTGTGTATTAAGTAAGAGACTACATATTCAGGGTCTTCCACATGGCAAAGTAAACATCAATGTTAGCTACCTTTTTACATTCCCTTGAAAATACCACACACCAGGAATCATTTTCTTCCTCCTCCTCCTCCTCTTCCTCCTCTTCTTCCTCTTCCTCCTCTTCCTTCTCCTCTTTCTTCTGCCTCTCCTTTTAATCACTATTTAAGCAATTTCTGACCTATCCTCTTCCTTTACATGACAACACTGAGTCACACACACACACACACACACACACACACACATCTACAAACTTCCTTCTTCAATAAAAGTAGGTCTATATCCTAATTACACATGAGAATCACCTAGGGAGAATATTTTTAAAATACAGATGTCCAGGCCCTACCTACCTCAGGCCAGTGGAGCTATTCTCAGAGAGGAAGTCTCCAGGCCTTCTTTGGTAAAGAAGGAAAATCTCAAGTGTGACAGGGATTGGGAACACACATAGGAAAGCTGCAGGAGCCCTTGTCCTAACGAGGTGGGGTCACTTCAGTGAGTGAGGGCAGAGCCCAATCCCCTTGTTCTTACACTTGTGCCCACCATGCCCAAGACGACTTCTAGCTCCTTCTGCTAAGCACACTGCTTTTTCTACGTGCTTTTGAGTTGCAGAAAGCTCTTATCAACCAAAATAGACTCAGAATTTCAATAGATTAAAAAAATATAAAAAATGGGATCTTGGGGCCTAGGATCCTTCTAAAGACAGCTTTCTACCTCTCAGCTGGACCTGAAGCACCAGAATTAGAAGCTATTCTTTGTTGTGTGAACCACGGAGTTGAGATGGTCTTGAACAGTCGTCTAGGTAAGCATGCCCCAAACTGTTTGTCACCAACCACCACATCTTCAAGGCATTAGCAGATGTCATGTGAAAAAAATAATGATAATGGGAGGGGGTTTCTATAGTCAAAACCTTAGCTAAACACCACCTACCCTCTCCCACTCCCGGACATCAAGATTGTGAGATACCCTGCTGTTAAAATCAAAAAATGTTTAACCTAACTTTTACTCAAATAAATGCTTCAACTAACACTTCCTACAGTCGTTTGAACAAAGAACCTTTTTTTTTTTTTTTTTTTTTTTTTTTTTTTTTTTTTTTTTTTTTTTTTTTTTTTTTTTTTTTTTTTGCAAGGAGCATCTGTCATCCACAGAACCCAATTTGGAGAATTCCAATTCCTTCATGTGAAAGATGAAAAACTGGGGGCTCACAATATGAAGGGGTTTGCCTAAGTGGACCAAAATACAGTCTGCCACCGTCTCCTGTCATCCCTGGGCACCAGAGTCCTTCTGCCCTGGACTGTCTCTAGTAAGGTGGCAGCTTCGCACATCTAAGTCCCTGTTTCTGGTCACTGTCTGAGAACTTCCTAGTACTGCTCTGAGTGCAGGACCATGGTGGGAGCTGGTGCTTTGTTTTCTGCACACTCTAGCGTTGGGTTCTCAGAGGGTCTCCAATCGTAGTGAGCCCCAGTCGCCCATGGCAAAACTCTGCCCTGGACAGTTCTTCCTAGCTTTTCTCTCCTCTCTTGCCTAACCTTCTCTTACCTGAGCTATCCCAGATCAACTTCCCAACAAACTGCCCTCATCTTAGCCCCTATTTTGGGAGAAAACCCAAATGAATAACAAAGCAAGTTAGGAACACTGACCTAGATTTAAGGCCCAGTTCAGACACTACACAGATGATTTCACTTTTATAAATGAAATCGGATTCCAAACTCAGGATTCCAAGTTTTAAGTAGACAAAAACATTTTCTCCTGAGACTAGCAGCTGAATTCTACTGTCAAAATCTAAAGAGTGTTCGACCTTTCCTTTTACTCTGACCATTCAAAAATAAAAAATAAGGATGTGTTAGAATCAAAACATTTTGCCTTATCTCCAGAAAATAAGCAGGGCTTTTCCACCTGTGTGCCTTTTCATGAAAGGTCACTGTTGACTAATACGTCATGTTACTAGAATTTTCTCTCAGAGCTAAGAAAGATACAAATGCTTAAAGTTGATCTCAGGAATTTCTGGACAGGCAGCACATCTGAGGTGATGCCTGAGGCCAACTCTTTTTCAGAAACAGTGAATAAATTTGCTCAAGAAATTAGCTGTCGATAGCAAGGATATGAAAACACATCCAGAACTTTAAGTTTGGCTGAAAATCTCAAACTGTTTCCCAGATATTTGGGGCTTAGTGAAATCTAACACATTTTTTTTTCTCAGAAACTTTTTCCTGTCTTTAATTTCCAAACTCTGAAGTTCTAAGGAAACTTTATATATGTAGTTTTCAACATTACTTCATGCCAAGCAGATAAGCATTTTCAGATTACTTTTAACAAATACATTTTCAAGAAAATATACTTGATTTTGGTGAATGCAACTCACCTCACCCCTTTTGAACTGTGCACACTTACGTATGATAAAACTGAAGTTTGTACGTATGACCTTACGTATGAGGGCACTAAGGTTCAAAATCGCAGAAAGATGCCTCTGCTTTGACAGGGGAGGGATCCTGGTAGGATTTTGGGCAATCTGGCTTTAACAGAACTAAGAGAAAGCGAGAACTCCTACCGAGGCAGAAAAAAACACTGCCCCTTTGCTTTACCTCCAAGGAAACTGATGATACCTAAGGGCAATTGGCTAGCAGTCAAACCAGCATTACAAATAGAAGAGTAAGCTGTTCAAACCCATCTGCTCAGGGCTGAGCATCTTAAGAACTGGCTGAATGCATGGCTGTGTGCTAGAAAACACAACCACACCTAACTGTTATCAAAAGTCACAGCTGCCCGGAAATCCATTCCCAGATGTGTTCCTCACATGCCCCGTAAGAGCATTACCTGTCATTCCTTCCCAAATAATTTCTTGATCCTCAGCTTTGGTTGAGTTCATTGCCAGAAACTTTCTCTTTGCTATGAAACCAGATCTAGTTCTAAAGGCAGGGAGTCCATCTGAAGATACAGTGCCCCACTGTCCTCAGCTCCCCACCAGGGGCTCCTGCTCGTAGGTGACAGCAGCTCTGCTCAACAGTCCCACCTCTGGTACATTCAGTCAAGCTGCCTCTGTAGCTGTTGTACCCACTTCCTGTAACAGCCACCGCCATTCAGGTCGAAGTACTCCCAAAGATTGCATTGGAGCCTTCTGGATTAGGGTTCCCGAGGCAAACAGAAGCCATAGGATATCGAGTGATGTGTAGAAAGAGATTGGTTAGGAAGGATGGGTTCCCATCTTCATGGTAGCTGAAAAGCGCAGAGGTGACATATAATTCTTAAGTCAAACCCAAAGGCTCAAAACCCAGAAGTACAAAATATGCATTTGCTGATCCAACTAGAAGAGATGCACCAACCACAGGATGCCAAGCAAATGAAGTGGTTTTATTTTCCCTAGCTTGTGAGAATAATGAGGAAAGGACAGGCACTGCAAGACAATACAATGGTATTATGGGTCCAGAAAAAGAAAACAAAAACAAAAAACGAGACACAAAGACAGAAGAAATAACGATGAAAACAGTGGCCAGAGTTACCATCTACCGAGGTGCTTGGCATTCGTTATCTTGAGTTTCGCAATCCACATACTAAGTCAGTGCTCTCATTTCCACCTCACCGATGAATACAATGAGGTTCACAGGTAATTCATTTCTTTCCCAGTCGCACACTGAATATGTGAAAAGTTAGGGGTCCAAGCCCAGATTCCCTTCCAGAGGCTTAGTTCATTCCACTCAGCCATCCTAGTTTCCTAGCAATGGATTAGTCACATTGTAGCTAGGGAGCTTATATGCAGCTTCTCAAGGAAAAATAAAAAAAGGAAAGAGAGAGAAAAGAAAACCCACTCAGTTTCTCTGACTAAAAGGCTTGGCTGACAGCAGGAGACATGCCGGGGAACTCGGTCGATGATAGCTTCTTGGACTGAGACCCTATCATTCTCCTAAGTCTGTGACTCCCAACCGGGGACTTGGACTTACTGCAAGGAATCCACAGATCCATGTGCACACCAAGTCTTGTCTGCAGAGGAAACGCATCATGGACGTAGCAAGACACTTCTGTGATTGATCATATACCAGTTGATTCTAAATTGTGGTGCAATTCACAGTAGGTATTTATCACTGTACATTTCTCAACCCGGGAATATCAGAAGTATAACTAGAATCATGTGGGATGGATGTTTTTGTCATTAAAAAGGGATTTTCAGTCCTACAATCCAGAGATTCCGTTCCTAGATATTTACTCCAAGGAAATGCACCCATGTGTTCACCAACAAAGAACATTACATAGGAACAGTCATAGCAGCGCGTCTGCGATTTCCCCAAAGTGGAAATGACCCAAATACCAACAAAAATGGACAGGAACACTACGCGCTTGCACAGCCATACAGAGGAGTGGTAATACGGCCACAAACGCCCACAGTTCACAACAACACACAGCGGTGGGACGGATCTCACAAATATGATGGAACGGAGAACACAAGCCAGACACATAAATAGCATCCTCTGTATAATTCCACTTCTGTAACATGCAAAAACAAGTAGGGGGCCGGGGATTTAGCTCAGTGGTTCTACTGCTTGCTTCACAAGTACAAGGACACAAGTTCAATCCCAGACACACGCACACACACACACAAAAAAAGCAGAACTAATCTATGCTATGAGTAGTCATGAGAAAAAGTTACCTTGGGAACGGAGGAGGAGTCATGGGGCGGAAGGGTGGGGCTTTTGGTTTTTGTTGTTGTTGTTGTTGTTTTGAGACAGGGTCTCACTATGTAGTTCAGACTGACCTGGAACTCACTATGTAGCCTAGGCTGGTCTCGAACTCACAGCGATCCTCCTGCCTCAGCCTCCCTAGTGCTGGGATTACAGGTGTGCACCACCATGTCTGGCTGGGGGAGGGGGCCTTTTGTGGAAGTGTATAAAGTTCAAGTTCTTGACCTGAATGTTGGTTATGTGGGTATTTTTTGTAAACTCTGTTTACAAAATTTTGTGAGCTGTTTGTGTCTCTTTGAATTGCTCTTGTGTTTTATTTAGTTAGTTTAGTTTAGTTTAGTTTAGTTTAGTTTATTGACACATTTTAGGTATACAGGACAGTTACATTCATCACTGGGATCTTGCACCTTTACATGATGTATCTTGGTTCTTATTTTTCCCCATTCCCCACCCCTCCCTGTTTACAAAGATACTGTTTCCATGTTTTTCCTTTTCTCATATTTTTCCTTTTGCCTTCTTACCTCTCTCCTAGGATCTCTTATTTTAGTAAGGCATTTTAAATGGAAGATCACCTGGCCACACTGGGCACCTCCTCTTGGCCAAACACTTTGCATCCAGTTTTGTTCAAGCCATCTGTCCAATTTCAAATCACCGCTCTCCCAGCTCTACCTCTCAGAATTATTTAAATCCCAAAGGTGCCACCTCCCAGGAATCTTTCTCCTTCTCTATCCAAGTCCCCGGAAAGCATTGCCTTGACAGCAACTCTGAGGTCCTCGGAATTTCACACCCAGCCTGGCAGAGGATAGGTCAGTCCATAAAGGCTTTCTGTCATTGTGACAATATTCACATCTTAACCTTGTACTGTACTGATGTGTGCTCCTCTTCATTTCTACCCTCAAGAAGCCCACAGTCTTGGGAGAAATATTTCCACTCACTTTCTTATGCCCACCACTCTCAATCCATTCACACACACAGCAGGTACTCAGGTGGTATTTTGGACTACAGACAAACGTCACCTATAAAAAGAACTTGTAGTGAGAGATACACCTGCAAGATCCCAACAGTTCTATTTCATGCTTTTATAAGAGAAAATAAAAGAAGCCTGCAAAATGAAGAAGGAACATCATCCTTCCTTCCCAATAAGTGGCATTTTATTGGGTTTTTACTAGACTAAAACCCCTCATGGGGTCTAATTATCTACACTGGCAAAAATGTGAGTTGTTTGGTCAGAAAACTGAAGGCAGCTGAGACATTTGGACAGTAGTGAGGAAGAGGCTGAGTTCAGTTCCAAATCCTTTGGCTCACCCTTGGCATCCGCTTTCATATATGAGCAAAAGGCATCCAACATGCAGATCAACAAAAGTGACATGCAGTGAAAAATGACAGAAGGGTCTTCTCATGTACTCTGGCTCTGTCTCTCCGCAAGAACAATGACATTTCCAAGTAGCCCCTGAGTTATCCACAACCTATAGTTCTCCTTCTCCCTTCCCTTTTTCTTTCCCTTTTTTTCAATAATTTGTACATATAAATCAGGACAAATTCACTATGAAATGATTTTTTTAGGAAAATCGCTAGGGCAAAATGAGTGTTGGAGTGCTAAGATTCTTGAATTAATAATACTGCTGCCACTCGTGATTTTAACTTGCTCTTTTCTGCTGGCAGAAGCCAAGACATTAGGAGAGATTTTCCAGCATTACAGTCAAACTGTGCATTTTTAGATTTGTGGGCAGGCTGAGTGATCTCCAGCCAGAGTCTCAGCCCTCAGCCCTACATTCCAATGTCATTCTCTTACAACGGCATCATGGCTGGCCTCCCCCGAGTCATCACTTTGGAGAAAATGAAGCACATTTTCAGAATTTAATTTAGGGAGAACCCAGGCAATCTAAGGCCAACTAACAATGCAGCTGGTGAACTCAGCAGAAGGAAGAGCTGATACTAGCAAGAGGCATTTGCAGTACCTCCCATCCTAAAGACCCTCAAGGGCACCGTCTACACCTAGCTCCGGAATTTCATGGAGGGTAGAGAAACCTAAAATGCTTCAGGCAGCCTAAAATGCCCACATCTTTTCCTGCTCACAAGGAAAGAGCACTCACGTTAAAATGTGTATGCCAGGACTAATCTACTCGCATCCAGGTATCAACATGAATTTCATTTCTCATGGGAGCCAGGCCTACACGCAGTTAGACCCCTAACTCAGGCACCTAACATTCTCCTTTCCTGGCCCTTGTCACGATTGCCATTTGCTGATAACCTGCGGAATCATACAGGCGGTGTCTGCCTCTCCACAGAAGCACAAAGTCCTAGCATCAGAGACCTAGGACACAGTACTCAATAAACACCTGTCATTAACACCACCCAGTTGACTACAGTGACGGTTAGAACCCCGCACTCCAAGAACCCTGTTTCAGAGGCTGGAAACCAGGGAATAAATAAGTGTTTTTCATGTACAGTAGGTAGTGAATCCATGATCCAATTTCATCTCTCTCTTTCTCCCAGCTCTAAATTCCCTCCCTTCCCTAATTTACGGCATCACCCTCCAAGTCATTTAGTCTCAAAACATAAGAAACATCACAAACTCGACCTTCCTACCGCTGACCGATTGATTCTCACTCTGGAAACTTCCTTCAGCCGCCACTTCTCTCTCCCCCAGGCCACCTTCTTTGAAACCTTGCTGTCCCTTCTGCAAGTGACATTGGCCTCTGACATTTGCTACTTCTTTTAACTGGGTCTTTTCATTTCTAGCCATTCTAGGTAATTCTTGGTTGTCTCTGATCAATCCTTATGAAAAAACAGTGCTCGTAGACTCCTCACGCTGTGGGAATAAAGCGGGAATTCCACAACGTGGAGTACGAAGTGGTTCCCAGCTTCCTTCCTGCACTGCCCTTCAGCATTCAGCCCCAACACCACTTTCTACAGAAGTCTTTCGGCGTCATTTTCCACCTGAAGATGCCACCAAGTTCTTCCACCACATTTCTTAGAACTTTGCAAGTGTTTAATTTTACAAATTACAGAGTATCTGCAAAATTGTTCCTATTAGTCTTCCAGCCAGAATCTAGATCATGCTGGTCTTTATTTACTCGAAAATGCCTAACACTATGTCTGGCACGTAACAGTTTTACAAAAACATTTCTTGAATTTAATCAAGTTCCTTCTTTCAAACATTCTGTGTTGTTTACCAACCACGGCCCCACCCCAGGGATAATGAGGCAGAATCATCTTGTGGCCCCAAGCATGTGATTTTAACCCTTCTGTGCATTAGTTCCTTCCAAAATGAGCTCTGCTTAGTTAAAAGAAAGCATCGATCAAGTAAGATAATGCATAGAAAACACTTCATGCATGATCTGGCATGTCCTGTTTGCTCACTAAACATTATCCTTGTGTTTTAGTCACTGTTATCGTTATTATTTTGGCACTGGGGATTGAACTTAGGGCTTCTCATTGAGCTATGTCCCTGGTCCTTTTTTCATTTTTATTTTGAGAAAGAGTCTCACTAAGTTGCTAAGTTGTCCAGGCTAGGCTGAAACTTAGGATCCTCCTAAGTCTCTTCTAAGCTTGGAATTACAGACAGGTACCGCCATTTCTAGCTTTCTATTTTCATTGTTATCATCTTCACCATCATTACGAGGCAATATGTTGCAGTGAAGGACAGCTGTAATCACTAGAAGATTCTTCCCAATTCTGAGTTACAATATACCTCCCTGTTACTCCTATTTATTGATTTTAGCGGGGGATGGGGGTGGATAAGAATGCAGTATCCTCAAAGCAGCCTCAGGTAACATTTTTTAAAACCCTGATTCTTGACCCCTGGCCTAGTGTGCAAAGGAAAGCTAAGGTCAACTAGGGATAGAGAGCCAAGTTCCATTAACTCCACGGGCTTCTGAATAGAGATAAGGATCTATAAATTGGTGTTCATTTTCTACCTTAGAAGATCTGCTCTGGGAGTCTAAAATACTGCTTAAATTTCCCTTATTTCCTCTAGCTGTAAAATTTGGGTAAGCAAGGAAAATTCTGCAAAATGACCTCACCATTGGCAGTCATCTGCCCTTGGCCAAATTAACTTGCAATTACTGTGAGAGTGTCAGAAGTTTCCAAATTAGCTTAGCCCCTGCCTAGTGCTGAGCAGGCTCCTTGGGGTGAGTCGTGTTCATTACTTGAGTCTTGTGTAAGATGGTCCAGCCGCCACTAAAGCAGTGTGTGCCTCTCTGTCCTCATTTCCCCCTGCACCTGACCTGCTCCTGCTATTAACCATGACTTTAGGATGTGTTTCTAGTTTTGCAGGTTCCTGCGCCCTCTTCTACCACACTCTTCTTCCTTTAAGTAAATTGCCTTCAGCTGATGGGAGTTTCATTGGTTAACTAGACCAGACTCTTTCCACTTTCTTCAATGTGCTGTACAGCTGATTTATTGTGCTCAAATCAAGCTGTAGAGGATCTTCCACATCCACACCCAGGTACCTGCGCCAGTGATATTTTAAGCTTCATTTTTTTCTTTGAATGAGTGAGGACTGAACCCAGGGCCTTCACAATGAGCTACATTCCCATGCATTCAGTCAGTCTTTCAGAGATAGAGTCTTACTAAGTTCTTAAGATGCCTAGGCTGGATTCAAACTTGCAATCCTCTTTCCTCAGCCTTCCAGAGTACAGGCGTGGGTCATCATGCCCAGCTGTCAGTTATTTTTTCAGAAATCTGAAACCATTTCTAGAGAGGTCAAGAAGAATAACTCTGGGGTAGTTGCAAGGACCTGTTTTCATGTACTTTATTACAAGGCACAACTTTCTCCAACCCGAATGCCGAACAAGAGACCGACTATGTAGCTTACAAAATTCACAGAGTATTTACTATAATGCCACTGCACAGCAGCAGGAACCTTCCTGCCTCTGCCTCTACTTTTCTCCTCTTGGTCTCTTTGTTACCAGATGTTCAGGATGGTTTTTCTCAAATGCATTTCAGAGTATCTCACTTAAGAATCTTCAACAGCATCAAAGATATTCAGAAGGAAAACATGTACCTCAACGTGCTGTCGGTACTGGCGCTCACATCTCTCTACCCTCTCACCCCATCCTGGCCTTGGTTCACCCCACACAAGCAAACAGAACTCCTCGCAGTTTTCCAAATGCCTCAAGTCTTTCCCGGCAAAGGGCTCACAGTTTTTCCCTCATTGTTCCCTCTACCTCCATTACTCTTCCCTAAGTTCTAAATGTCTGTATCAGTCTCCTTTCTTGCCTTCATTATAAATTTAACTTCCTGGGAAACCTAAAGTAGAATCCCCTTCTTTACCCTGCAAATCTGCTTTTTAAATAATATAACTACTTTCTTCATAACCAACCTAACTCGACACCAACCTTCTTGGAATTATTGCCCGATATGATGATGATAGCACCAATTTCAAATAAATGAAGAGGCTGGTAAGAAGGTCGTCCTGAGACCTAGAATTGCCACATGGCTCAATGAGGGGAGGAAAAGTAACCACATAGGATCAACCTCTGGTTATTCAGCTCATATCAGTCATGTGTAGAGGAGCCCTGCATAAAAGCCACAGAGCCATCCCCAGGCAGTAGGAAGAAGGGGAAGATTCCCAACTCTGTAGCAGGACCTTGTTAACTTCCTAAGAAGGAAATCCAGCTAGGGTAGACCTTCTCACTGCCCATGAAAGGCCAGGTGAATGTGACTTCAGGGACAGATTGCTCCTTTATATCCCAGTTTTCTGCTAAGACTAGCCCACTTCCTACTCCCCACACCCTGTAAGAGCAGTAACATTAAGCAGGAGAGGAATTTCTCTTTGATCATTGTCTACTGCTGTGCTCCTCAAAAGAGAGAAACTTGATACAGAAAATCTTCTGAACAGTGAAGGAACAGTGGCTGCTGAGCTTACCAAAATGATGTGTCCAGACTTCACAAGACCAAGAAATTGGAAAAATGGAAGTAACAATGCAATAATAAAAATAATAGCAAATTTAGTAAGCCCCAACATTTTCTGAAAGCTTGGTTATTCTTGCCAGAAGTGGTTACAAGCCTTTTGCATGTTTTATTTCATCAAAATCCCATAGCAATCATTTGAAGACGTTATTATCTGTCCATTTTACAGGTGAAGAAACTGAGGCACAAAGATTTACAGAACTCGTCCAGTGTTGATCAGGCAGTAAGAAGCGCATTAGGGTTTGGATCTAGCAGCTCCAACTTCAACCCCTTTGTTCTCAACCACTTACCATCCCGTCGCGTGCCAGAAAGATGTGAGTATAAATACATTACAAAAAATGGTCACAACACCTAAGTTCTCAGAGCCTCACAGGAGAAAGTGTTTTCAGAAGTGATTGTGCGAGCCCTCTGCCACTTTGGTGAAATCATGAGCAACCAAAAAGCACAGCTGGAACACTCAACCCTGTGTGGTTCACTTCACAAAAGGTTCTGGGGACTCTTGGAACACTTTGTTTCTCTTCCGGCAGGCGCATCTTTTGTACCTTACCCTTGTTTGTCTGCACGGTTTCAGAATACCTCCTCCCTGTCATCATTACAGTCAGTTGTCATTCTTCATTTCTGTTATAATCGCGTCACCTGCCTCTTAGCCATTACCTGTTGGACCTGGGTTTGACTGGCAACTTTGCCTCTTACTGCACAGAAGTCTTGAACACAATCATTAGCTTTATCTCAGACCAGGTACCTGCATCCTGAATGAGACTGTAATAACTTTCTCGCCATGTTCTTTGAAGATCTATTTCACATCAAGTGCTTCAAAAATGATAGTCATGCTACAAAATAAAGAGCTTGGCCTTGAAGACTTTCTATGTGCATGACTCCTAGTAACCTCTCCAAGTTTATCCCAGGCAAATGGCCTTCAACAAGTATTCCTACCCCTCAGTTTATCTTCTCCCCTCCAGGCCAGCAGTCTTCCTTTTGTGACACCTGAGCTTTCCACATCAGATTCATTCGAAGTGCTTTTAATAGTCACATTCCACGGTCCCATAATTGCCTTTGTTAATCAGAACCTTTGGGGTTGGATCTTGGCGATCTCCATTTTTAATAGGGTCCCCCAACTCCAGCAACGCATGGATGGCTGGGTCTCAGGCATTCGCCTTTGAAAACCTTCTCTCCACATGAGATTCCTTCTACTTCTCCTATCTGCCACCCAAATCTCACAAAAAAAGCCTCAGTCTGACTTACATCCTTCCTCCTTCATAAAACCGTTCCGGATTCCTCCCCCCAGAAATAGTCTGTCCCTGCTTGGAATTATCACGGTGTTTGTTTATACATCTGATGATTCTTCCTAATGTTTCCAAGACTCTCGAGGTGAGAGCCGGTATCCTGACATCTTCAAAGAGATCTAACATGGGGCTTTGTAGAGGGTGGGTGGTCGGGGAAACAGAATCAAACGGACATCATGGCACCCGATCCCGCTTTGATAAACCCTGTATATTATTCTCTTTGTCTCTTCCCCTTCTGCTTCCTGCTGCCATCATCGCCCAGAAGAACCCCTTCATGCCTCAGCCCAAGTCGGGGAATGAGTGCAAACGCTTCTCTTCAGCCCACTCAAGACTTGCTGCAATGCTAGGTAGTTTCTCTTTTTCTTTAAGGGCAAGGAAAAGAGGAAATCAATACAGCAAGTGGAAACAAAATCAAAGGCCGCGCTTCCCTGGTACAGATTCCTGTTTAGCCCTAAGGGCTAAAATCTTTTCTCTAGCATTGAGGCTGACTTTTGGCTCCATAAATGCCGCAGGTAGTGGCTGTGGTCCCAGCTGCCAACAGAAATGAACCACTCATTCAATATGCCCCCGTCCTACAGTGTCCCCCACTTCTTATTCCCATCCACTCAAGAGTGAGCTAGTTTTCCTCTCTCTCCTCTCTCTCTCTCTCTCTC